ATACCTATGAATCCACAATCAGCGAATGGCATACGACCGCCAGCAAGCAATCTCAGCTCAGATCCGGAGCGAGGAGCCAAGAAGCAAAGCAACGATGATGGCAAAGACAGCCGAGACAAATGACGGCGACAACGAGCCAGCACTAGCCGTCGGGGTCGGAGCCGGAGCATCGGCGGCCAAAGCCAAACCCAGGGCTTGGGTTCGAGGAACCCGCGCCTGGGTTCCTCGAACCCAGCACGCCTGGTGCCTCGACCCGCGCCTGGGTTCGAGGAACCCAGGCGTTGGTGCTGGGTTCCTTCGAACCCAGTAAGGGAGGGGAAGGAGAAAAGGAAAGAGAAGGAGAAAAAGAAAGGAAAGGAAAGAAAAAAAAAAAGAAGAAAATTTTATTTATTAAATTATATTTTTGGTGTACAATCATAATATTTTTATAATTAAAAATACCACGTCACTCATTTTATTTTTAAGTAATATTTAATATTAATAAAAATTGAATTTGTTAGCGGGAAATGTTGCCATGTCAGCACTTAACTGACGGAAGGACGAAATTGGTCCCAAAAATTGAAGTTCAAGGATTTTTTTAGTATTTTTTGAAATTTAAGGATAGTTTTAGTTCAAAAATGAAAGTTGAGGGACTGAATCGGGGATATAACCTACCTAATACTTTCTCTTCATCCATTACATGTGAAACCAACGTTTCTTTCTTTCTTTCTTTGCTCCACAGAGGTCCCAACACCAACCGTGTCTTTTCTTCAAGTTATGGGTTCGCAAATATGCGCTGACCTCCTGAGTGCCATCATCGATTCCGCAATTTCCAACTTGATTTCCGCTGCTACTGAGCAAATCAGCCTTGCTGTCGGCTGGGAGGAGGAGCTTGAAACGCTTCAGAACAAACTGCGCATGATCAAGGATGTGTTGCTGGACGCAGAGGAGAGACAGGTGCGAGACCGTGCTGTGAAGGGTTGGCTTGAGAAGCTCAGGGATGTGGTTTTTGAGGCTGATGATGTGTTGGATGAGGTTGCTAACGAAAGTGAGAACTGCAAGGTGGAGAATCAAAACCAAAAGCTGAGAAAGGTGCTTAATTTCTTTACCTCCAATCCTTTGCTATTTCGTAGTGATGAGATTGCTAGGAAGATTAAGAATATTATTGCATCGGTGGAAGCTATTAACAATGAAGCGAGAGAGTTTGGACTCCAAAATAGACTTGCTGGCACAGTGGTTTCTGAGCATAGAAGAAACGCACAGACCCATTCCACTATTGGTGATTTATCAGAGGTTGTGGGGAGAAAGGATGATATCTCCAAGATAGTGCACCTCCTAACTGACTCACTTGATGAATCACGGCTTTCTGTCTTATCAATAGTGGGTATGCCGGGGATCGGTAAAACCACTCTAGCACAAGCTTTGTACAATGATGAGCAAATCAGAAACTATTTTGGTGAAAGGATATGGGTTTGTGTGTCGGATAATTTTGAAGTAGAAAAGATTTTAACAGAAATGTTGGAGTCTCTTACTAGGAATTCTTGTGCAGTAAAAAACAAAGATACTGTGATTCAAAAAATAAGGGAAGCCATGGGGGAGAACAACTTTCTTCTGGTATTGGATGATATGTGGGATGAAGAGAGTCATGGGAAATTTGAAGACTTGAGAAGCTGTTTGCTAGGAGTATGTAAAATGTCAAGGAATAGAGTTATTGTGACAACTCGGAATGAAAAAGTTGCATTGAAAATGAGAACACTTCCTAAACACATGCATCATCTTGGGAAACTACAAACTGCTGACTGTTGGTCTATTATCAGGAAGAGAGTACCTGGAGATGCTTCTATAACTCTAGAATTGGAGAAAATTGGAAGGGACATTGCTCAATTATGTGGAGGTGTGCCATTAGTTGCAAGGGTTATAGGAGGTATTTTGCGTACAGAAAGGTTGGACAGAGTCATGTGGTTGTCAATTAAGGGGAAGATTGAGGCATTGGGTCCACTTGAACATGATATAGAAATCAGAGGTGTCATAAAATTGAGTTTTGATCACTTGCCAGAGCTAGCTTTAAAGCAATGTTTTGCATTCTGTTCTATTTTTCCAAAAGATTTTGTTATGGAAAGGGAGTTGTTGATTCAGCTTTGGATGGCTCTGGGATTTCTTCAATCTACTGAAGAAAGTCTTATGACAATAGAGGATATCGGTAATAAGTATGTAAATGACTTGTTATCATATTCCCTCTTTGAAGAGCAGCAAAGAGATTCATTTGGAACCCTTATTAGTTGCAAAATGCATGATTTAATTCATGATTTTGCACAATTAATTTCAAAATCTGAGACAATGATTTGGAAGTCTCAAAGGAATATTCCTAATGTTCGAAATTTGAATCTCATTTATGGTATAGGAACAGTGCCAACAACTTTAAGAGATGTTGCTCCAAAGCTGCACACTTTGTTTTTAAAGGGTGATTTTTCTTATGAGATGAAGCTGGATCTGAGAAGTTTACGAGTTTTGAGTTTTGTTGATTCCCTTGATACAAAAGAATTGCCATCATGTGTTGGCAACATGAAGAATCTGAGGTATCTAGACATTTCAAGAACTCAGATAACAAAACTGCCAGAGTTCATCCCCAAGCTATACAAATTGCAAACATTTAGATTCATAACTTGCAGATCTCTAGAAATGCCTCCTGAAGGAATTGGAAGTTTAATCAACTTGAGGCATATATACTTTAGTGATGAAGAACAGATGCCTACAAACATTGGGAAACTAACTTGTCTTCAAACATTGCCAATGTTCTTTGTGGGCACAACAATGGGATGCAAAATTGAAGAATTGGGTAGCTTGAGAGGGCTCAGAGGAAGTTTGAAGATCTGTAATCTTGAGCATGTTAAGGACAAATCAAAAGCTATGGGAGCAAAGTTACATGAGAAGACAATTTCTAAGTTGAGATTAAGATGGGGAAAAGAAAGCAATCAAGATGAAGATGTTTTGGAAGGTCTCCAACCACACTCAGATCTGCAAGTATTAGAAATTGATGGTTATGGAGGCAAAAACTTACCATCATGGATGTTGAAGAATGTCTCAAACTGTGATCTATTTTTGCTCAAGAATTTGGCAGAGTTGAGACTTGAACAGTGCAAGAAGCTAGAGAGTATTCCAGTAATGACAGGATTTTCATCTCTTCAGATGCTTTCTATTTCAAACTGTGCTGAATTGAGTATTATAGCTGAGGGAGCATTTGTTAAATTGGCGTCCCTCAAAGAATTACACATATTCAATTGTTGCAAGTTGGAAAGGGTTTCAGCAAATGGCTCATCATTGCCTCACTCACTCTTAATTCCAGATTGCAGAGAGTTGAATAGCCTATCAACCTCCACGTGTCTAAAAGTTCTATTTTTGCGTGATTGTGAAAATCTAAGGTCTATTCCAAGTCTACGTGGGCTTAGTTCTCTTAAAGAGATAATATTTAAGCGTTGTGGATTAGAGCATCTACCTAGCGGGCTATCATCTTGCATTGCTCTTAAGAAGTTGTCGATATCCAGTTGCCATAGCCTGATCTCTGTTCCAGAAGAATTGAAGGAAATACACTCTTTGGTTGAGTTGCGGATTAGATGGTGTTCAAAATTGAGGAGCATCCCAGAAAATACCCTCATTTCCCTTACGAGCTTGAAGGGATTGGCTATTGGTGGTTTTTCGAAAACGTTGGAGGAATTTCCTGGTCTCAGTGGCATCCACAACCTCCAAGCCTCCCTTGAACGCTTGCATTTGATTGGATGGGGAAAACTAACTGAGTTTCCACCCGAAATTCAAAACCCAAACCTTACTGCTCTAAAGCACCTGTCAATCGTAGATTTCAAGAAAGTGGAGACATTACCGAAGTGGTTAGGAAACTTATCCTCTCTTAAATCACTATCTGTTTTGGGATGCCTTGGATTAAAGTATCTACCAAGTGGGTTGTCGTTCATCACTGCTCTCGAGCGGCTTATCATACTCAAATGTACTAATCTGGTCTCTGCTAAATTAGAGGAGATACTCGGCGGCCTTGCTTGCTTGAAGACATTATATATTGGTCCTTTCTTAGAAGAGTTGGAGGAATTCCCATGTCTGAGTTCCATTCACAACCTTGGCACTTCCCTTGAAAGATTGCGTTTGTGTGGTTGGGCAAAGCTAACTCAGTTGCCACATCAAATTCAACACCTCACAGCTCTAAGGCACTTGTCTATATGGGATTTCCATGGAGTAAAAGCTTTGCCAGAGTGGTTGGGAAACTTGTCATCTCTTCAAGATCTGCGCATCCAGCATTGCAAGAATCTGAAACATCTCCCTTCTGCAGAATCCATTCGGCGCCTCTCCAAATTGAAATTTTTGGAGATTTTAAAATGCCCAGAGCTAGAGACAAGATGTCCCA